CCTTTGAAATAATTTATAATTATCTCTGCCTATACTTCTTTTTTTTTTTATAGTGTTGATACATAGCATAAAGTATTAGAAAAAGTATGAGACATGTTGCAGCAATAACTTAAGTATTACTTACTGTCACCTTACTTTAACTATTATTTAAGTGTTAGTGACAAAAGTAATTTATCGCACATGTATAGTATAAGTGTATAGGTACAGTCGCGAAGTGCAGTACTCTGTAATTGAAGCTACGGCTACATGTAGGTCGGTTAAAATATGCACGCGCTGTCATTGCAGAGTCGCTGCTCTTTTTTTCGTTTTATATACAATCTCTCTGTGAAACGTTATTTTATGCGTATCCGAGTGAAATGGGAACTTGGTGGAATTCCGACGAAGTGCGAATTTTATAAAATCGAAAACAGCTCGAAGCATAAATGATTGTACGTTGTGCTGGCGATTAATATGTATTTTATTGAAAACTTTTATCAGCAATTCGTTCAGCCGTTTGAGCTAGAAATTAACACAAACTTGAATGCTGATCGAATGTGCCTGTGACTTAATTTACATGATGCCTCTTTACTAGCATGCTAGTTCTTTAGCGAACTAGAAAACTAGTAGTTAAAAATGTATTATTTTATATAAGTTAAATATTATATTTTTAAAAAACTCTATTAGCTAAAAATATATAATTTATATTGGATTGGGGAAAAAGTCTTTTTACAAGTTGGTAAAAATACTTTTCTCCATTAATTTTTCGTTAAAAATAATCAAAATTTAAATTTTAAAAAAAGGTTTTAAAGCTTGAAATCTCTGTTTTCGAATGATTACTATATTTTTTGAATATATGTAAGTTTTGTAATTTTTACATATAGAAAACTACGAACTAAAAAAATGAAAATTTTTTTTTACTTTGTAGGCCTTTTACTTGTAAAAAGACTTTTTCCCTAATCTAATATTTTTCAGCTGCTAGTTTTTACAATTTGCTAAAAAATTAGTTGCTAGTAAAAAAAGCATCGTATAAATCAGACCTATTTGATCCATTTTCGTTCAGCCAACTTGGCAATATCTTATATATCATGAATGAATATATAATTGACAGACAATCATTTTTTTTTTAAAGAACTTTTATCACCGACGTTATACTGATCATCCAACTTTTTGAAACCATATCTTGTATATTTTCACAAGAAAGTTTGAAATACATCGTTTGCGCCAAGTGTCAAATATTGGCTTATTTCCGAGGAAATTCTGGACCTTTTACCCGTCTGTTTCTACTTTTCTAGTAGAGACGATGTACTCAGGATGTGTTAAGAATTACTGTACAAATTTTCCAAGAGAAAAAGTATGAATAATATCATAAGGAAACTCATGAAATATGTAAAGATAGTAGAACTAAAAGAATAAGGTCAGTATTCATATCCGTTCTTACTTCAAGAATGTCTTAAGTAATGTCTTGAAATGCTAATATGGATGTGTGATTGGTTTATGACATTTTAAGATTGCATTTAAGATGATCTTAAATATAAGAATTGATTTTGAATGCTTAGCCTATGAAAGAGTATATGGAATATTTAAAAAATTGGAAAAAAATACTAAAATAAGTAGTAAGGACATATAGTTCCTATATGTATATAAGAACAATTCACAGCAATTATTAATGCCCGTTTCTATCAATACATATTAATCTTAATCTCGGTTCAATTTATTCTTAATCTTTTCTGCTTATTTTTCTAAATTTTAGAACTAGAAAAAGAATAAATTGAATCGACCGATATTAAAATTAATCTACATTAGTAAAAATGGACGTAAATGTATTTGCAATTTATTTAAGGATATTTTAAAAATTAAACATACATATTTTTAAAATGAAAACAAAATTATGAAAAAATTACAGATTATTCTAAACCATATTTAAAAATAATACGACAAATTTGGTGAAGGTTTACTATCTGGATTATAAGTTATTTTAATAAATAGTAGTATTTTTTTAATCTGTGCTCTGATAAAAATATATGGAAATGTCTTATAAAATAAATGACAAAAATCTGAATTTTTAAATATAAATACATAATGCGTATTCAAGATTATTTGTATAAAACTACATTGCGATGCATGAATTAGTTGTCCAATAAATACCTAAAATATTTATTTGTTCTGTATCTTTGTAACTAATCAGTAAATCGCAATGAAACTTTACAAGTTATTTTGAATATTTAAAGAACTTATTTAAAAAATTTAGATTTTTGTTATCATTAAAAAGATTTTAATTTTTAACAATAAAAATAATAACAAATAAAATTAATAAATGACAAAAATGTGTTATTAAATAAAAAGATAATCTTATTCATATAACTTTCATATGTATATAGTTTATTTGAAGTGTAAGTATTAAACACATTTCCAAATTTAATTTTCTTTACAGAGACTGTACGTCCAATACATCCTTAAAAAAGTATATATATGTACATATATACTACAAATTATATCGTATAAATAAAATTTAAAACAAAGTTATTAGAGGTGGCTCGATAACATAAAACATAAATAAAGAGAGCATACAGCCACATGCACAAGTTGTTTTTCGCACAAGTCATATATTTAAAATTAATTACATGTAAAAGTTTCTTTACGGTCAAGTCATGACATTGTCCAATGTTACTGTAATTACATGAATTCTCGTACATAACAGTCTTACCATCGTAGAAAATATTTTGCCATCTACGTAAATATTCTTCAAACATATTCAGCATTGCATTATCGTATTATATTTGATAACTGAAAAGATGGAATTTGGTAATCCCGTGTTGTAACATACAAATTATCAAGAATAAATTCTTAATTTATTGTAAAGGAGAGGGTCAGGAAAACAGGATTAATTTTTTCCGAATTTTGTAGTGCTACAACTTATTTTGTTATTTTATTATTTAATATTCGCTTTCTTTTGATTGTACTGATGATGGTCATGACTTGACCGAAACGTTTACATGTAATTAATTTCAAATATATGACTTGTGCGAAAAATAACTTGTGTATGTGGCTGTATGCTCTCTATTATTTATGTTTTATATTGTATATATAATATATATGTATATAATATATATATGTATAAACAATATATATATATCATCTTTATGTTAAAAAATGCCAGTTTCAACAATTTTATGTCACACCCAGTTATACAAATTGATTTTTATTCTTTATCCTAAGTGTACAAAATCTATATATTTCCTATACAAAGCGCTACTAATGTTCGTTCTGAAACCCGCTATAATACATACAATATTCATTAAAATGTTGCATATTGCATGACATTTTATATATTGTCCCATTTTCAAATTTTGTAAATATTCAGTGAGATTCGTTATGTGTGACAATGCTTGTAAAAAAATGCAAAATATATTTTGATAACTGTGCGTTATATGTGTATATTCTCTTGACATAATCCCTGTTCATAAAAATTCATTCAGAGGCAGTCATTACAATCATCGCCATATACGTATGCATATTATTGTCGGTAGACATGTCATCGCGATCGTCAATGAACACTTATTTTTGCATAAGTGACTTGACTGCGTCGAGTCACGAAATATTAATTGGGACGTACGTGCTCGGGACTTGAACGTAACGTAACAGCATACGGTAGTTAAAGCCACGTAATATACCGCTATTATTAGGTGCCTCAATAATTGCGCGTGCAATTAACGAGAATACATCGATTACCGACGTTCGAGAATCGTGATCTGTTTGATTTGTCTGGCTTTTCCCGATATTTGAAACTTTAAGCTGGTAGGTTTACACATTCGAAATGCGTTATTATGCGCATACATGTATTATAATACTAACCAACGTTCAATAATACTAACGTACAGAATACACGAACCAAAGTTCTAAGATAAACACTCGCATCGATGTATTTATCTAATTACCTATTATAATATAACTGTATTATTAATTACAGTTATGAAAACTATACCTAAGTTCTAAAGCATTCTGTTTGGAGTACAGAATACAAGTGAACCTCCACCTTACGGCGATTGATATTACTGGGAAGAGTTTGATTGCATTAATTGGAATTCTAATCAAAAATAAACAAATCAGAAATTTCTGGTTGAATCTATTATAATTCTAGTTGGAATAATCAGAATTCAAATTGATATGATTAGAACCTCTCGTTCATTTTTAATCAAAAATTTTTCCCAGTGTAGAGGAAAATTAGAAATTTTTTAAATCTATAATTTATAGAACCTCATAGTATTATGTAATCATACAGATTGTAAAATATTTTCGCTTTAGGTCCGAAAGACCCAAAGTTGTAATCGAAGATTAAAGACGTGTTACACGTACAGTCCCTGCAAAGAAAATTAAATTTGTGGAAATGTGTTTAATACTTACACTTCAAATGAACTATATACATATGAATGTTGTGTGAATAAGATTATATTTTTATTTAATAACACATTTTTGTTGTTTATTTATTTTATTTGTTATTATTTTTATTGTTAAAAATTAAAATTTTTTTAATGATAACAAAAATCTAAATTTTTTTGTAAATTCTTGAAATATTTATAGTAACTTATGCAAAGTTACTAATTAGTTACAAAGATATAGAGCAAATAAATATTTTATTTATTTACTGGGCAACTAGTTCATGCATCGCAATGTAACTCTATATATATATATATATAATCTTGAATATATTATGCACTTATATTAAAAAATTGAAATTTTTGTCATTTCTTTTATAATACGTTTTCACTTTTATAATACATTTTTACTAGAGCACAGATTTAAAAAATACTGCTATTTATTAAAATAACTTATGATCCAGACGGTAAACCGTCATCAAATTTGTCGTATTATTTTTAAATGTGATTTAGAATAATCTGTAATTTTTTCATAATTTTATTATCATTTTGAAAATATGTATAAAACATCCTTAAGCAGATCTCTTTCATAATTCATAAATGCTTCTATATAAGCGTTTGTAATTTACATAGATGCAGTACACTCACCAAAACAAATTATAAAACAGACAAGTGTGGGAAGAGAAGTAGACATCGCTTTTCCCCAGCGTGGTTCATTCACATATTGGTATACTATCTCAGACGCATCGCAGTCGTTTTCAGAAAACGCTAAACGATAGAGGCGGATCCACTAACACACTCGGCGCATCGGCGTTTGCGGCATTCCACCTATTCTCGTTCAGAGCGGACAGAATCACTTCGTATCACCGTACATCCCATGCACAACCACTCGCGCGCGAATGGGAATGCCGTAATCTCGCTTCACGTCGCACAAATTAAAACGTGGCGTCTCAATTAGTTTTTCCCTCGTCGATAAAATCGCGCTAAACGGGACCGATGGAGGTCACTGCTCAATAATTCGCTCACTATCACGAAACAACTCTACGACGGTACCACATTCTCCGAATTACAAATCGACGTCACTAATTGCTGCGTAATGTATTGTGGTTTCGTGAATCGCGTATTCCGAATGGCCACATCGACTATCCCGAAAAACAGATGCTTGAATAATTAATTCGACATCTACTATTCACGTCCGTCGGTCGAAGATTGTCGTTAAATCTAGCGATCTGTGCGTGAACGAACTTTGGTTATTTACATCGCGACGTCGCTTTGACGTCAATCGCGATAGTGATAAACTTTAACTTGGCAGTATCGGTCGCGTGATTCCAACTTTTACTTAGATGGAGAACACATCCGCATCACCATTATCACTCGGTCTGCCGACGGAGATTATTCCCCTGTGATCCATATTGATCGATGCGAAGGATCGTTTCCGGCACTAAGCAGCGTCTTCGTATCTCTCGCTACGTCGACGACCGTAAGATCGCTGACGATGCATTAGGCTGATCGTTGTTATTAATGCAATCCGCACGATGCACTGGACGTTCCATCGATCATTCCACCACGGTTATTTGCCCTGTGTGCACTGTGCACGGCTTCACCGCATTTTTCCGGACTCGTAATTTCTCTTCCTCCGCTCGAGGGATCGACTACGAACGTGCTTCGATAATAACCGCAAACGAGGAAGGAACTTCGCCTCTCTTTTCTTTTGTTCCTTTATAGCTGTCGCTCGACGATTGGTCTATACAAATCGCTCCCTTTCACGGTTGCGAGCTCTGTCCGCCCACGACGCGTAAAACTCTTTCGATAGCGTTGACAACAGAGAACAAGCCGCTGATTTTTTCTGACTTTTCAATTGTGCATCGACGTCGTTGTTGCGGAACCAATAAACAAGTTTCGTTTGTACAGCGGCAGTGTTGTGGCACCCGCGAGACGACGCATTTTACGAGCGGCTTTTAACTTTAACATCTCCCCATCAGTCGCCCCGTTGCACGATTCTCTGTCCTGACAGATACGATTTTTTTTCTACCACGCCTTCTCTCCTCTAGCAGTTTCTCTCTAGTCTGTTTCGCCTGTAACGTACTTCTGCACGTCTAATGCCATCGGCAATTAAACGCAGACCCTCGAGAGACTGTCGACGACGTCCTTAAGCGTTCAGAGGCCTTCTATCATGAAGCTGGAAGTTGTTTCACGCAGGATTTATGTTTAGCGAAGGAAAGCACTGCAGGACGGAATTTGCGAAGAAATTCGCATACGTATCTGTGATCAATGATTTTTTTCCTTATTTAACGATCGGCATCGTTTCCTTCTTTCTTTCTTCTCAGCGAAATTTATTAGAATTTTTTTAGCGGGCAGTGAAGGATTTATTGCTGAATAAATACTTAACCAGAAGAAATTCGCATACGTATCTGTGATCAATGATTTTTTCCTTATTTATCGATCGGCATCGTTTTCTTCCTTCTCCCTTCTCAGCGAAATTTATTTGAATTTTTCTAGCGGGCAGTGAAGGATTTATTGCTGAATAAATACTTGACCACTCCTGTGACACGAAATGTTCTAAATTTTTCAAAATTCCAGAATGTCCAACGACGCTCCGATATGTACTTGGTGTTCTCCACTCCGATCAAACGTCTCACACCTCAATCGAACGTCATGCAGATGACTCGCTGGACGATCAAAATCTTCCAGCGCAATCATCCACTTAGCGCGAGATATATCGTTTGATTTAGACACTACTTCACTATACCATCACTATCACTTCGTCAAGAGATCGTAGATCGTATAAAGATGCCCCCGGAAATATTTACGCACCGCGTCACGCACTATTTCGCGCTACTCCGTTTTAGAATACGCACGTAGACGGATGGGAAGAAGAAATGTTTGCGGGAAGAAACGAGGGCGAAAAGAGACCGGGGGCAAAATAGATATACGTCTCCGTCAATTCCGAAGAACCGCACGGGGACGGAGTCTGCGAGGCTGGATTTTCATGTCGTCGCTACGTGATTTCGCGGGATCCTCTACGGAAACAGAACACTAGGCGATAGGGTCCGCAGAAGAGGGTTCTCGCAGAAGAGGAGTGCGAAATGGGCCCCTCTCGCGCGTACTTCACCCCCTGACACGGGACACCACTGAGAACGCGACGCGCGCGACGCGACGCGACGGGGAGAAGGTCGCGGCTCTTTCGAAACGACGATGCTCCCGCGTCGAGGATAGCCGAGGGACTACATTGCGCGAGCGCCACTCGGGTGTCGAGCACGCAGCCGCCCCGTCCAGCCTGCGGAACTGCGCCTGTGTGCACCTCGAGCTACCTGTATGGGTGGCTGTGCGGCGTGCGCGTGTATGTGTTTTTCTACACGTACATGTGCGCGCGCGCCACTTCCTCCCATAGCCCGGTTGTATATCAGACCGTTTCCCCTACCCCCGCCCCGCGAGGGAGCCGCCACCCTTTTACCCCGTTGCCTATCTTGCGCGCATCCCCCTTTTCCTTCTTCTTCCTCATCTTCTTCCACTTCTTCTTGTTTTCTTTATTCTTCTTCTGCGCCTTGTTCCTCTTCTCCTTGTTCCCTCGCGCGTCGACCTCTTTCCTCATCACCACTCTCCTCTCTTCGTTCTTTCTTTTTTCCTCTTCTTCCCGTCGGCACCGGGGAAAATCGCGGCCCCGGTCCGATAAGGACGCGAAAAAGCGCGAATCCGGTTATAACTTATGGCCGAGATAATTAAAAGGAGTTACAGAACGATAATGGAGTGCCATCCCTGTCATCTTCTTGCGCGGCCTCCGTGCACTAGCGAGAGCTGATCTATCCGTGCTGACTGGTGGTCGCAGCGGATCACCCATTTCTTGGGTCAGGTTGGCGAGTCTCATCGCCAACTTCCCGACTCTTCTCGCGCTGATGCGATCTCAAAGACGTTCTGTCATCGTGAACATTTGACGTCAGGAAAACGCTGACTCGCGTAGATAACCGTAATATAAAGTACCTAAATACTTAATTTTATGCTTCAATTCTATTTCATTCTTACTTTCATTTCGTTTATTTTATGATCTATCTTGATTTCTTTAATCTTTCCTATATTTCCGCTAACCGATTAAATTACCTTTGCAATTCTAGATAAAGAAATGAACAGTGCGTCGCATGTCCCTTCACAGAATAGTGAAACACGTGGAACGTGCAGAAGACGGGACGAAATTATCATGTTAAGAACTACCTGTTAAGGACTCGACGAGATCCGAGATGCACTGCAGTCACGTGTCACTGACTATACCGACCACATCGGAAACTCAGCGCGGAAAGATCAATAGGCATATCCCACGCGTCTTCGGCATTCCGAGAATACGTCAAGAATTCCGAGGATATTCCCATACCGTCCCAGGAAAATTAACCGCCCGACTCGCGATCGTCGTCTCTTTACGATATTGACTAGCGATTACGGGAAGATCGGTCCTGAGGACCCTGCCGATCCTAGAATGAATTTTGCATTCCGTTAAAGGCTCTCGCTAACGGCATGAGAATGCCAACACTCTCCTGTGGATTATCCTCAGGATATGGATCCTCATATAATAAGAACCTATAAGCAACGAAACAATCCGATGGGACGTGTCGGGCATGGGATAAATTTAATGAAGCGATCGCCGCAGCAACCTCTGTCGTAAGACACAGAAACAACGTACGTATCCTCATCTCCAATACCGGGTCTTGTATCTTAATTGTCTTCCATCGAGTATCGATTACCGACGTACGACGATTCGATGCACCGCGCGTGCTAAGATTAATTGTTATATCGATCTGCCATGAATTTTAATGCGCGCGGAACTCCGCGGAGTAGTACTACTTGATTAGCATTCGCTTTGTCAGAGGTAAGAGCACATTACAGCGCTTCCCGCGACGTGTTGTGAATATTGTCATCGACTTCAAGTGGATGTACCTTTCTACTTCAACTACTTCCTCTCGCGTCTCGCGAATAATTTCATTGCTTTGTTTCGGATCTCATTGCTTTAATTATGCTTTTAGATTGATCGATTAAAATTAATTCATATTTTACGTTTATTAAAGAGATAAACCAAATTAAAGGACTGTATAAAAATCGTTAATTTCCGTTAAATCTAAGTGATAAATAATTTGAAAAAATTATGTTTTTCCAACATTTGTTTCTTATTATAACGCAATGATATTTCATTTTATTTTTAATCATATAGATTTTGATATTGCAAGTGTAAGTCTCATATTGCAATTTAATAAATTTATGTCTTTTTAAATTACAATGTACCTTTGTATACGCATTGTAATCGTTTGTATTAAAATGCATTGTTAGTTATAAATTTTGAGATTATACAGATGTGTGTGTACATGTACAGATAACCTTAAACAAAAAAATATCGTTGATAGCTCCATGAGAGAGATTCTCTCGTGGATTTTGTGTACGGCTTTTACAGCTCACACGGCTCAATTGTTGTCAATGGCGAGCTTATCGTTGACAAAGGCACGACCCATACAGACAGATCGATGGTTATATTTCCACGCACGTGAATTTCGAAAACGTCCGTCACGATTTATCATCTGACACGCGGTAACCAAACCAACTGGTCCGAACCCGCGAATATTTGCGATATTTAAATCTACGAACGCATGTCATTACATCATTCACGCGCGTTATACCGTAAAAACCGATATTCGCAGCAAGAATGAAAATTTGAAACCGCAATGTGTAAATTTTAATTTACAAATGGGCCTTTGTCATTTCCCTCTCCCCCTGAGAAGCCATGCACCGTGACTTTAAGCTGCAATTTTCATTTTCCTTGCCAAAGGACCACCACGCTGCGCCGTGCCGGTCCTATGGCACGAAATGCCAATCAGTTGGAATTTACGACGGGGTTGTGCTATCCGTCCGGTTCAATAGGCATTTACCTCACATTTCCGAATTCCAAGAATATAATTCCAAGGATCCTACTGTTCAACGACGCAATATGCGAACATCTCTTGCCTAACTTTCATACTTCGGACTTGTGGTCAAGAACCTGCGATCGGCGAGTCACGATGGTGCGGTCGTGAAGAGAGATCAATAGACAAGTACAATGTACATCCGTACGTTCCAGATTCCGCGAATGTTCCGAACAGCCCACGCTTCCCTCTATCTCGATCCTTCACCGAATTATGGATACAGCGCCGAGTGAAGTGGGCCCTTCTCATCAGGACAACAGCGTCTGCCGACTGTGAGACGCAGGTGAAGCCTCTTGCTACTGATTCCGAACTATTATCCGACTCTAATGCAATCCCTAATGCGACTCTAATGCTTCTGCTGCCTCTTCGTTGTTTGACGCCGAAGCGCGGCGATAGTGCGCCTTGTGGGATTTCAAGCCGTTCCTCGATCGACGTACATTTGTGATCATTTGTTATTATAATTAGGTACAATAGTCAATGAAAAAACATCATTATGTTTTATTAAGTAGTGCAGCGCGAGTGTAATAAACTAGTTTATAATTTCACAGTATTGATCCGACCGTCCGTTTGTCTGCAAGATTTTTCAGAAACGGCTTAACTTTTCCAAATTCTGTTTTGACATATTTAACGAAGTTTTTACGAAGTAGTTACAAGTGTTTCGCTGTATTATTTAATTATATCCGTTGCAAAGGGTTTATTATTATTAATTCTACTATGTTATTTTGAATATTTTTTCATTTGGCTTGCAAGCATAGAATGTATTTATTTTGAGGCTACTTTTTTTCAATAAAAGTTATATAAAACGATTTTTATTTTATAAATTAAAATACAAAAACGAAAAATAAGGCCTTCAAGAGTCAAATTGTGAAGACGTTCAATAGATCATATCATTTTTACATGTATTTAAACTTAAAAATAATCAATAATAAAACATAGATTATAAAAGCAATTTAAACATATAGATATTAAGTACTAATATCTAGTACTAACCTCAAATATAAATATGACGTCTCAAATTTTTTTGAAATTCTTGCAAACGCTTACTATTATTCGAATTTTCCCATTATTCAAATTATCCTGCTGTACCCTACATGTATATTACACCACATTTATTGTAGTCATTCGAACTGCGCGCCGAATTGATTTCCGGACTTATAAACGCAATTAAACTACTGTAATAATATATCACAAATTAAATTGAATTGTCAAGCAAATTTTTAGTAACTTGATGCTCAATTCGATATCATATTAGAAAGATGTTAATGTATTGAAAAACCGTAAACAAATTTGAACTTACTTTAATTATATTACTTGAAATTATATTAATTATATTAATTAAACATTTAGTTAAAATTATTCCACTCTACATTTGGTAGCTATTACCAAATCTTTTTCAGTGTTGAAGTTAAAGTAATCATCATTTCCCCTTTCGTGCTCAAGTCCTTAACTGCTGTAAAATACGAGAGTGGATCCTGCACGTGAACGTAGTGCGAATCTCTCGTACCGTCGTGTGTCAGTTGTATTCGTAGCTATCACATCGAGCCATCTGGGACATTTAAGGATGATCTTGGTCGCTTTGGGGAATGTTAATGGAATATCTCAGAGATGTCTACATATCGTAATGCAATGTGCTTTCAGTTAATCTTAGACAGATTTTACGCGCTCCAGGGACGTACAAAATGCCCTATGTCTTCCTACTTGAAAGAATGTACTCGAGATTCTTTTTATTCTCTAGAAAACAAAATGCTCGAAAAACGGAATAACATGCACATCGAATGGAGATCCAAGAATTTTTGTCTAGAATGAAGTATCCCGTTGGTATGTCTGTACACGTACCAGTAGGTAAACTGAGATTAGATATAGAACACGTACGAAAACCGCACACTCGACCGCAAATTTCTCTATCTGAGGAATTTGGGTATTTGTAAAGAATCCATTTTACAGCATAATATTATAGAAATGTTTCGTTCTATGATGATTGAACTGAATCGTTTTATATATTAATTAGGGCAGAGTAAGAAATTGCGCGAACATGGAATAAACGCGATACTATTATAACATATTATACTTCTCGGTATAAAAACGATAATATTTATCAATTATAAAATTTTTATTTAAAAGATTATTGGCTTTTTAAACTACAATAATTAAGATTTATATTTTATTAATATAATCTATAACTTTGAACAAAAATAATTCCGAATGGCAAGGTTTGTTTTTTGTTTAAAATTATAATTTATATTAATATATGAATGTTAAGTATTATGGT